TTGAAATTGCAAAGCTTTATCTAAAAGAAAGGTAATTTAAGATATGTATTAAAAAAATATGACAATTTGCCTATTTAAACTAAATTGATAAGTCAAGAAAGTTAAGGATATGTTAGTCTATTCAAAGATTTGATAGAAACTTACCTATGATAGCGGTTACCGCGTTAGGACAAAGACATGGTTTAATCAAGGATTTGTCTGCGTATGCTAATTTCCCTTTACTTCGAGGTGGCATTCCTGATAGGGAGCATACAGATAAGGCTTCAGGAGTAAAAACTCCATCTAAGAGCCTGCGGCTAGCCGCTGTAGCAGACGTTGCATTTTCTGCTTCAATATATTTTTCTTGTAGACAATATATGGATTTAGCCTTATTCAAAGCAGTTCCCTACAAATAAAAACGTTAGGCTTTAATATTATATAATAACATGATTAGCAACACAGCAATACAGTAATAGAAGTTTGTATATGCATATTTTGTTATTAAAAAAATGCAAAACACATGTGACACAATATGAAATATTGTACTTACCAAAGCCGGATTTTTGACAAGAAACATATCATTAAAGAACATTAGTTTGTTCTCAGATCTGGAATTATGCTGCATGAGAGCAACATTTGGCTCAATAAGGGAAATTAATTTTTCCAAAGTTTGAATATCAAATTTAGTGGTTAGTTGAGCAGCTAACTGTAAAACACAAATACCATTTCAAGATTTAAATGCGGGTGTAAATGTAATGAAGGAAGATTAATGTTTTTAATTCAGATTTAATGTTTTTAATTTACATACGCTGCAAAGTTTCTTACACTCTGAAATTGTAATTTCCTTCTTAACATGCTCATCACTATTTGAACATAAAGATTCATCAATGGAGACACTGCCATTATCTTCTTTATTACTGTCATTTTCCTGTTCAAATTCCGTATCCTAAAATAGATATGAAATATGATAGAAAAAATGAAACATATACGAGTATAATATTGAACAGCGGACAAAGATTTAAAAATGTTTTCTTTCTTTTCTCATATTGGAAATTAAGAAAAAAGAGAAAAAATTTACAGAAGATATTTTAAGAAATTTATTTTAAGAAATTTACTGACAAGAGTTTTTGTGTAAGAAAAAGAAGAGCTCAGTTCAACAATATTTCCTTCCTCAGACTCTGTTGGATGATCATTCTCATCATCAAACATATACTTTATAAATTGCCATGATTTTCTTTTTGTAGATATTTCTCTTATTAAAATATTTTGATATGAATCACATAATCTTATCCATTTTATTTTTAAAGCTGCGATAGTGTATTCCTCTGAAACAAAGTTCACAATTAATTTTTTAAATTCTCATGGTTACAAATTTAAAATAATTTAATCAATACTTTTTTCTTTGTCAGTATTGATAAGATCCTCAATTTCTTGCCATAGTTTCTTTTTGATTGCTAGTATGCATTGTAATAGTAAAAGATTTTTGTCCCATAAGGCAGGACGCTCTTGCACGGCAGCTATTGAAGTTTCCTCTATCGATGCAGTTGCAGCACTGTTATCATTATTTATGTCAATACTTTCTTTATCAATTTCCTTAATACTTGGATCACAACTCTGATGTTCTTTATTTTCTTTTTCTACGGTCTCAACATCTGTTTTATCATTATTTACGGCAATATTTTCTTTGTCAATTTCCTTAATACTTGTATCAAAATTCTGATTTTCTTGATTTTTTTTTTTTACGACAATATCTGTTTTGTTTCATAAGTATACCAGATTAATTAAAATGATTTCTAATGTGGTATTAAATTGTTAACATTTTATTTTCTTACCTGTCACTGGGTAAAAATAATTAGATTTGATAAAAATAAATATTCCGTCACATCCATGAAGAGAAGGATGTTGCATAATAGTATCAAATAGACATTCCTTTTTACATATGTCGCATACATAGATTGTGGCATTCTGAAAATATATTAGAAGTCATATAAAAACTCTTTTTTTCTTGATACTTCGTGTTAGTTGATCGTATTTGCATATTATATGTTTGCATGGTATTTATATAATTTTATGAAATGCGAACACATGCGATGCATTTAAATAGACTATAAAATTTTTCTTCTTTAGTTACCTCTGATGTTTCCATTTTGTAATAAAATTGACGTTTCTTTATCTACAGGTGTATTTGTATTATTTGTGACCGCGACGATTGGCGAGAACAAGCGTTGTTAAAATGGAAAAGAAACTTTGCACTTAATTATTAATCAAATATAGTGAAATAATTGCCTATAAGAGCCGACACAGGTGTTGGTGCGTGAAATTCTTATTGTTACAATATCCAATCACACACGATCTGCGCGCGCCACACGATTTGTCAGTCTTGAAACACAGCTAATTTGTATGAAGCCGGAACCATGTAACTAATTAAATACATTACATACTTCAGTGGTCGAATGGTAGGACGCCCGTCCGGCAAACTGAAGATCCGGGTTTAATTACCGGCTAAAGTGTTATTTTTCGCAATAAATTTCTTTACAGAATTGGGGGAAGGGGAATCTTATATAGATGCATATTAGCATCAAAATATATTAAATTGTTCATCAATTTAATTAGTTTACAAGGTTCCGGCTTCATACAAAGAGCTGTACGTGTTTCAAGACCGACAAAGTGTGCGACAGATCGTGTGTGGTTGAATATTGTAACATTAAGAATTTCACACATCAACACCCGTCGGCTTTCATAAGCAATTCATCTTTTTTTTTTGCCTTCTAACTGATGAAAGGAATCAAAAAGACCCCATTCTTTATCATAGCGTAAAATATTTTATATGTGGATTGCATGAAAGATTAAAAAATAGATTGATTTCTTTGTCTTTTAATAAGAAAGAGAATGACGTTTATTGAATTCAATTTCCTTAACTGGAAGTTGATAAATAAAACTGGTTTAAACAAAAAAGGTACCGAAAAATAACATTTTTTATACAAAAATAGTTAACTTTTTTTCTACTTAACCAATTCCAAAATTTCAAACGCGGTTTTAAAGAAGACATATATTAGACTATGAGAAAAAAATTCACTGTTGCGATCTCTTAAAAAGTATAATTATTGTGCTATATAAATATCGAAATATCATAAATTGAAAAATGGGAAAAAGACAATGAAAAATTGCTATACATTTTTTTACATCTTTCTAAGAATATTTTTTAAAAATACCTATAAAAATACATGTAAGTATAAGTATAGAACTTGTAAATAAACCTTAAACGTTTGTTTCATGTGCTTAAAAACTCTGTGGTTTTCACAAACCGGTCTTTCGATAAACAAGTCACACGGCTTTTCCGATTGTTTGACCTAGAGCAAAAAACGCGTTTTATAAATTTGCCTGTAGGTTCAATATCCAGATGTCTTCAATTGCTTCAATTGTCTAACGTGAAGATATCGATAGATATAAATAGATCAGTTGCTTTATTAAGGTTTTGATGTCTTTTCACGAGCTCGACGATCTACGGAGGTTCTATCATATTGCTGCATACAAAAATATTACGTTCAAAGCAGTATATAACTATTCGATTAATTTTCCCTAGTGTTTTTACTGCACTAGTAAAAAAGAACTACTATAGTAAAAATAGTACAGGATTGTGTTCCAAAACTTACTCGGGTAACCAAAACTCTATATAGTTTATGTCACGGTTAACTATAGAGTTTTGGTTATCTGAATAAATTTTGGAACGCAGCCCTGAAATGTAGTAGTGTCACTGCTGTACCAGCATTATCACTGCACTAATAGTTCTTTTTTACGAGGGTTACCCAAAAAAATTCGAGAACCATAAATTAATTTATAAGACTCAAAATCTTTAAATTATGTAATTACACACAAAACATATTAGTTTTAACAAAGAAAACGAAATAGACTTATTACCATGAAATTGACGCTGACCGATCAGAGGTCCAAGCGGACCCTAAACGAACTTTATATTTGTGTATCTCAGCAGCTAGTAACTGACTGACGCTACGACTATAATCAGGTTTAGAGTAACATGGTGGAAGGGATAACAGTCGTAACCAGTAAGCGAATCGACCAATCGCAATCGAGAATGTAAGATTATAACGTAAGCAGTAGTAAATCCAGTACGTTGATTTCTTTACTGCCTACGTTTTACTGCTTAAGTTTTTTTGTGTGCGATGGCCCTTATGACGAGAAGTAGACATGATATGCTCGTAAATAAGACGAATTTACGCATAGCAACGCGCAGGTTTTAATTTCCGCTATTTTACATTTAAAGGTGTATTCTAGTGTGACCGGTCAAAAAAATCGATTTTTTTTGCATATTCTTATAGTTTAGGATCTTGAAAATGTGTCTTTAAAATATTGAGATGAAATTCGTCAAATTGACCGAGTTGTAAAGGTTTAAAGAACGTAGCCCCCGTGCACGTCTATGCGGCTCATCGATCGCCCGATCGAGATTCCCATATGGTAGACGGATTTTTTGCGTGTCAGGTAGTATTTCTTTACTTATTGTTAGCCAAATGGTGCTATATATAGCTCGGGACGATTCTTTGTGTGTTCCCCTTTCTGAAATTTCATTCAAAATTTCCATTACAAGAGGTCAGTAATTGCTATCCCTTCCACCATGGGTCAGTATACTCTCGAGCTCTGAACGAAATAGACGTGAGTTGTTGACGTAAAAATGAATAAAAAAGATAAACGAGGTGGTCAGAAGCGTAAGGCAATGCCGAAAGGAAGAAAATTTAATGGAAATGGGATTAAAAATCGGTCAGAACGCTAAAATCTACGCAGATATCAGAGACGCATTAAATGTGCTGACGAGCGGGCATCTTATATGACTCTGAAGAGATAAGGATTGCTAGGAGAGAGGAAAAAGCTGCTCAACATGACTTCTTCGCATTAAAACTGACTTAGCATTAAAAGAATTTGAGATGTTACTTCAAAATATGTATAAATGTAAAAACAAAACATTACATTTACAGGTTTAACCGTTTTTATAAAATTGATTCTCAAAAATCATCTTAAAAACGGACGTTCACACTAGAATACTCCCCTTAACAATATTTATGCACATATATGTATATTTTATTGGTTATTTTATTTATAAACTTATTTTAATTTAAAAATATTAATTTGCCTAACTCGGTTTCTTTTTACTAAATTAATTAGTAATATAAGTAGTGTGATTATCTTTTCTTTTTTTTTAATTCTCTGTGCCACCTTTGCAAATGCATTTGATTTTAACGATTGTATTATTTCTTTTAAACATTATTTGCCACAGTCTGCTAATAAATAAAGTAATTAAAATTTTTTTCATTTCATAGAATATTCCTATACAAATTTTAGAAATTTTCCTGATTTTGATTGCGAAACACAATATTATTAGATAAAATATAAAAATAATAGAAATAAAAAGAGTCATTATAAAATTACAAATAATATTATCCGTGAAACTAAGTTTTGTTGGGATAACGCGTGCGTATTAAAACAAATAAAATAGTATTTATTTTATTTGAATTACACTGTCCAAAAATGGATGAATAAAAGGCCAGTCTCTAATTTGGATGTAGCCAAAAATATGCGCAAGAACATATCATATATAAATATCATATATTTACTTGCATATTAGCTAGCCTATCATTTCCAGAAAGTGAAAGTGAATAGTACTAATCTATAGATATGGATATATAGTCCCGAGCCGAAAATGTCATCTTCTAACTCAGAAGCATTATTTATAGTTTAAAAATTCTTTTGGGATCCAAACGGACTCCTTCTAAGGTTCTTAATTCTATCTTCTTGGGCGCAGCAGCTTTTGAGAATATTATTTTTTTTTATCATGCGAAAAATGTAATGCTCATGTCAAATAGTATCTTGCTGGCGTTCAATATTTGCTAAAAACTGAAAAATTTCAGCGACTTTACTCGCTATCGAACAATTAATAACTACTTGACCTCCAATCGATCGCGGCAATTATTTCGCGGCTGAAATTTGCATTTTGAATTCGAAAAGCGTCGATTAATCGATCGACTTTTGCCCATCCCTTGAATCGATCATTCGATATCGTCGCTCGCGCAGCAACGATGCCTCCGATATGCCCCCTCCTCTGGCCCCTGTCCTGGCTCGCTGGACTTGCACTCGTCCGTGTGTTATGCTGCTGATTTTTGACGTTCGGGAAACGAGGACAGGAAGTGGTTAGCGGTGCGTTGATGAGATCGGGGATCATCGCGCGGGGCAAGAGCGAGCTTTAATGCCCCAACGGTGCTTCGTGGGAACGCTCGCTCGTATCTCGAGATGTCTCTCGATGGTCTGACACTCGGTGCCTTCATCCTCGCCGACGTTCCACGTTCTCGCTCGTGATTCCGCCGACGGCAGAGATTCCCGACGATCACGAGATCGTATCGTGATGCGTGCGCAAAGTATGTAAATATCTCGCTCGTGGAGGTGCCATACACCCTGCCTTTTGCGGAGCGCACTTAACCTCCCAAGTTTTCGCCGCACCTTGTCTCCCGGGAGGAGAACGGCTGCACGGTGGAGGTCGGCGCGATGACCACCGACAAGGTCACCCTGGGCGACGCTCTGTCGAACGTCGACGTGCTCGACGAGTTCACGCTGCCGGACGAGCAACCCTGCATAGAGGCCCAGCCATGCTCCGTCGTGTATCAGGCGAACTTCGACACGAATTTCGAGGACAGAAACGGCTTCGTGACGGGTATCGCCAAGTATATAGAGGAGGCGACCGTGCACGCGAGTTTGGTAAGTTTGTCCCATATGCCTGTGATAACTCCGATGTGTGTATTCAACTCGACGTTACACCGGAAGGATAATTTCTCGTTTGAAAAATCTAGAACGAGCTGCTGGAGGAAGGCTTGGAGCATGCGGTCATGCTGTACACCTGGAGATGCTGCTCGCGCGCGATTCCGCAGCCGAAATCGAACGAGCAGCCGAACCGAGTGGAAATCTACGAGAAGACGGTCGAGGTGTTGGCACCCGAAGTGAACAAGTTGCTGAACTTCATGTATTTTCAAGTGAGTTTGAACTGCTTCATGTTGTTGCAATAGTAACTTCATAACATAGTAACTTTGACCAAACTGTATTTACCTTAATCAGTTAATAATATATTGATAGAGATATTCTTTTTTATCGTTTGATGTATGAAAAAAAGAATTTAAAGACTTTAAAGACTATTTAAAGAGTTTAGTTTAGTTAAATTTAAAGAATTTAAAGATTAAAAAAAGAATTTAAGTTTAATGAATTATACAGTTGAAAGTGTTGTTTTAATCAATTCTGTTAGTTGAATCAAATGAAGATTGAGATAATTCGATAAGTTCGGTTTTGTCTGCATATTTCGTACACATGTATTTATGTGTACTTGTGTTTCAGAGAAAAGCGATCGAGCGATTTTCGGCGGAAGTTAAACGACTGTGCCATCACGAGAAGAGAAAAGATTTTGTGTCCGAGGCATACTTGCTGACCCTAGGAAAATTCATCAACATGTTCGCTGTATTGGACGAATTGAAGAACATGAAATCCAGCGTGAAGAACGACTATTCCACGTATAGAAGGTGATTTATGAACAAGATTTTTTTTTTTAATGAACAATACAAAATTAAAATTGGATTTGTATCTTTTTATCTGCTCTCATTCTCAAGTACGTTTCGCTTAATCTTTTAGAGCGGCACAGTTCCTGAAGGTGATGTCGGACTCTCAGACGCTACAAGAATCCCAGAATCTCTCGATGTTTCTGGCGACGCAGAACAAGATCCGCGATACGGTCAAGGAAAATCTCGAGAAGATCACGGGATATGAAGAACTGCTCGCGGACGTGGTCAATATCTGTGTTCATATGTTTGAAACCAAGATGTATCTCACGCCCAACGAGAAGCACATGTTGGTCAAAGTGATGGGCTTCGGCTTGTTCCTGATGGACAGCGAGCTGTGTAACATCAATAAGCTCGACCAAAAGAAAAAATTGAAGTTGGACAGAATCGACCGGATCTTTAAGAACTTGGAGGTGGTGCCGTTGTTCGGGGACATGCAAATCGCGCCGTTCAATTACATCAAACGCTCGAAGCACTTCGACGCGTCAAAGTGGCCGCTGTCCGCGTCGTCAAACAGTATGAGTCCGCAAGCCGATCTCATGGTGCATCTTCCGCAGATCAGAGAGGATCATGTGAAGTACATCAGCGAATTGGCGAGGTATATATATGTCTTGTTCACTCTCTTTCACCTCGACCTTGTATCGTTAGTTTGATAATAACGACGTTTCATATTAACAGATACAGTAACGAAGTCACCACGACGTACAAGGAGTGCCGAAGCGACACGGAAAATCGGGACACCGCGGAACTGGCATTACGTGGGTTACAATTGCTCTCGCAGTGGACCAGCGTAGTGACCGAGCTGTACAGTTGGAAGCTGCTGCATCCCACTGACCATCACATGAACAAAGAATGCCCGCAAGAGGCCGAGGAATACGAAAGGGTATACGATCGTTATTCTATTAGTATCTCTCAGTGCTTTACACCACTGTCTTCACGTTTCTTAATTCGGAACACGAAAATTATATTAATATCATCTCTTTTATATAGGCTACGCGCTACAACTATTCCGACGAAGAGAAGTTTGCCCTTATAGAAGTTATAGCGATGATTAAGGGACTGCAGGTGTTGATGGCACGTATGGAGACTGTTTTTATTGACGCGATACGTAGGAATATATACGCCGAGTTGCAGGACTTTGTGCAGCTTGCGTTGCGCGAACCCTTGAGGAAAACGATCAAAAATAAAAAGGATTTGATTCGGAGGTTAGCAGCACAAACTATATTAGCCACGGCATGAATTTTAGATTTCCCTTACGCGTGACACATGTGTGTTACATGTGTATGCGAAGTTTGTAGAAAAATTGCTCGATAGTTAAAATTAAAAGAATAATCTGCTATATTATTTCTTTCATCTTTTCCTTTCAGTATAATCGTCTCCGTTAGAGAAACCTGTGCGGATTGGCATTTCGGAGTGGAGCCACTCGGAGATCCCGCTCTAAAAGGCAAGAAGGATCCAGACAATGGATTCGGGATTAAAGTACCGCGAAGAAACGTTGGTTAGTCTTTCATTGATATGATAAATATCATTCCTTACCTTTATGTTGCTATCGACTTTACAAATTAATTATGATGAAACGAAACAGGTCCGTCTTCCACGCAATTGTACATGGTGCGAACCATGTTGGAGTCGTTGATAGCCGACAAAAGCGGTGGCAAACGCACTCTGAGAAAAGACATCGATGGCCAGTATCTCGTTCAAATTGATCAGTTCCATAAAACTAGTTTTTACTGGGGTTATCTTCTGAATTTCAGCGGTAAGTAACTCGACTACGGTTTTCAGGTTCACAATTATTTTTTGCTTCCTCTTAACAATTTACTATCCTTTTTTTTTTATTGCAGAATCTCTACAAAATTGTTGCGACCTGTCGCAACTGTGGTACAGAGAATTTTATTTGGAAATGACAATGGGTAGGAAAATACAGGTGAATAACGTTAACTTCCTTTTTTTTTTTTTAAATTTAAACTCAGCGTAATTTTGAAACCTCCATATCGTGTAATTTTTTGATTATTTAGAAAAAGAAATCAATAGCCGCGTACAGTCGTATCCATTTGATTTGAGTGCGCAAAGATCGTAGAATTCACCATTTAATGGATATAAATTTTAAAGATTTAACTTTCCGCTCTTGCTTGTATACCGAAAGTTACTGTTATGAAAATAGCCGTTTCTGTAATTTTGTTCTGCAATCATGACTAGAAATGCCAAGTACGTCATCAGCATAACGAGGAGTGCAGCGACCTAATCACCATGGAGAAACGCATTCAGGTATTTCCCCGTTTGCTGCCGCGCCCGATAGATAAATGATGCCACGTCCGAAATGCCGGAAACTGTAAAGTTCAAAAACTCATTAGGCCTGTTCTTTATAGTTGAATTGCGACACTAGTTCACAGTTTTATCTTTCTCTTTCTACATTGGAAGAAAAAAGATAAACTCTGAATTAGCCAGTTCAGCCAGTTCAGCTATGAAGAACAGGCCTATTGTCAGTCTTTCTTTCTCTCTCAAGGCACTTCATTTCACGTTGCAAAAGATGCACACATAGAAATACGATTCGTCGTATTTTTATATCCAAACGTTTAATCGGTAAAATATTTCAGTTTCCCATTGAAATGTCTATGCCATGGATATTGACCGATCACATATTGAGAAGCAAGGAACCGTCAATGATGGAGTAAGTTCTTATATGAGTAAAATCGTTAATAATAAAACAGCAGTGCTTCTTATAAATTAGAATGCATAATGTTTTCTATAGCATATTATGTTTTCTATAATATATGTTTCCTATAGTATTATGTAGTCATTCCTCGATGCATGATTGCTACTTACTTAATTTCAACAGGTACGTTTTGTATCCTCTGGATTTATATAACGATAGCGCCTTATACGCATTGACGATATTCCGCAAACAATTTCTGTACGACGAGGTGGAGGCCGAGGTGAATCTGTGCTTTGATCAGTTCGTTTACAAGCTCAGCGAACAGATTTTCGCGCATTACAAGCAGCTGGCGGCCAGCATCCTGCTCGACAAACGTTTCAGAGTCGAATGCGTCGCTCTCGGGGCGTATCTACTTCCGTATCCCCGCGCCAATAGATACGAAACGTTGCTGAAGCAGAGGCACGTTCAGCTGCTGGGAAGAAGTATCGACTTGAATAAACTTATAACGCAGCGCATTAACGCGGACATGCAAAAATCATTGGATCTGGCCATCAGCAAGTTCGAGTCCGGCGACATAACTGGAGTCGTGGTAAGCCTTCGCACTCGCGCGTGTTTACAATTGTTATGCCAAATAGAGCATCTATTAATCGACGTTTGATATCCGGCAGGAGCTAGACGGATTGCTGCAAGTCAATCGCCTCACGCACAAGCTTCTATGTAAGTGGCTCGCGTTAGACGAGTACGATGCCATGTTCAGAGAAGCGAATCACAATGTTCTAGCGCCGTACGGAAGAATCACCCTTCACGTATTCTGGGAACTGAATTACGACTTTTTGCCAAATTATTGTTACAACGCCGCTACAAACAGGTATAATATAATGTTACATAAAAAATATATATATATATATATTAGCACTACATATTATAATTATATAAATATATAATATATATATACATTATAATTATATAAATATATATTATAATATACATATATATTAGCACTATATATTATAATTTTTTCCGGACTATCGATTTGATACTATTAACGTGTGTTATTTGACAGATTTGTCAAGTGTCGCGGCCTGCAGTTCGTACAGCCCGTTCACAGAGATAAACCGCCGCAAATGTCGCATCACTATCTCTGGGGTAGTAAGCAGTTGAATCTGGCTTATAGCACTCAGTACGGGCAATACACGGGATTCGTCGGTCCGCATCATTTCCGTACGATATGCAAGCTACTCGGGTACCAAGGGATAGCTGTGGTAATGGAGGAACTTCTGAAGATCGTGAAGACCTTGATCCAAGGAAGCCTGCATCAATTTACGAAGACTCTGATGGAAGCTATGCCGAAGGTCTGCAAGCTGCCACGATACGATTACGGATCCCCCGGCGTTTTGGGCTACTATCACGCTCAGTTGAACGACATTGTGCAATATCCGGACGCTAAGACTGAATTGTTTCATAATTTTCGCGAGTTCGGCAATACGATTCTGTTTTGTCTCCTGATGGAACAAGCCCTGTCGCAAGAAGAAGTGTGCGACTTGCTGCATGCGGCGCCGTTTCAGAATATTCTACCTAGACCTTATTGCAAAGGTAAGAAACAGCTACTCGGTGTATATTAATTAATTTGAGTAGAAATAAAGAACAACCGTAGTATAGGGTATAGGGTATAGTATAGGGTATCCCATTTTAATCAATCCAGTCAAATTTCTCTTATAATCTTTAATTATTGATGGTTTCAACAATTTCTTCTATAATTTATAATTATTGATACAACAAAATGTTCAGATGAAAATATAAGGTTTTGCAGGAATTTCGGTCATGTTTTTTTTCTAGGAGGCAGATCGGAAGAGCACACGT